CAACAGTGCTGTGTAGAAGAGAGATGGTGGTCTTGAGTGACTCATTTGACAAGGCTCCATGTATCTGTACTGGAAGGTTATAAATGGGAGGGAAGTGAGCTTTTAATAACCGACCTCAGACTTTTTTGTCAAAGCCAGATGCTCTCATTATGGACGCAGACGAGAACACAGTTATAATCAATCTGGCAGCCTGATGAATTCCAAGTGCATCTCCAAGCAGTCTGGAAGTTGGTGGCCCAAAGCCCTCTAAAGGTTTTAATTGCTAGTGTCATAGTAGGTTGCTTCACTGCAGAGTCATTGGAGTCAAGGCACTTTTCCCCTTTGATTTCAAATGGGAACTTTTTTTTGTCTGACTTTTAGAGACAATTTTTTAAAGTAAGGCAGTTATATCAGACATCAAAGAATATTAAACACACACACACATACACACACACAGTAAGACTAAGAAAAAATTGAGTATATCAAGGTCTAAGTTGAAGACCTAAAGGTTGTTTTAACAACAACAACAAAAAGGATCAAATATCATGTTTATGAATCTGAAGTGGTGGCTAATTGATGTCCTTAACCAGTAAGTATGTCCATGTTGTTTGAGAGAGAAGAGAAAGCAAGAGATCCCAAATAATGTTTATGGTGGCTGGATGTCAAGAGCACCACCAGAGTCTAGCCACACTGTAGAAATGCCTGCCCATTTTCCAAGACTGGTTCCCCAGCCTCCTTCCCCAGTCTGTGCACTTCTCAACATCTTCCAGTCAACTCTTATTTGCCAGTTAGAGTTGTTTCTGTTTCTTTCATACAAGACCCAGAACTAACACAAATACAAAAAGAGTGACCTTTACTTTCAAACATTATTTTTCTTTCTGGTAGATCTAATGATCAAAAATATACAATGCCATGCAACTAAAAAAAAAATTAATTCAGGGAAGATGTACATCCTTCCATGTGGCTAAATTAGCCAATAAGGAAAAAGAGATGACTTATTTTCACACTGGTCCTTATTTTGGGGTCACAAATTTTCATAAAGAGATGTTTCAACACCAAAACAAGATGTGTTGATTCTCTTTATGTTAATTTTTTTTTAAAAAAAAAAAATTTGAAGAGAAAAGAACTCAAAGAACCTAGTGGTTGACTGCCAACTGTTTAGTCTCCATCTAACTCAATACATCATGTTTTCAAATAAATCACTCACCATGCTTGGTAAAAGTGTATCATCTGAATTTATGTAATTAAAACTCCCTTATCATCATATTCATTGAGTCTATGTATGTTCTCACTCAGGAACATCCTCTTAGGCCCCTATCTCCACCTCAAGCAAGGCCTTGGATTAATATTCTTAATATTAATCAGCTACTATTAAAGTGGAAGTGCTCCTATTTCCTAGAACACGTATCTCAGATGTTACAAGAAACGTAGCAAGATTCTTTTGGGGAAAATGTAGAATAGTGGAATTGTTTTGATTCTGAATAATAATTGAACTTGAGGGCCCCCCCCCCCAAGCACATAAATCCACCAAGAGCTAAAAAGATACTTTGCTTCAATTTACATTTAAATTAATTAAAACCAAAAAACCAAACCCTTTGCTGTTGACTTGATTCTGACTTATAAACAACAGTATAGGACAGAGTAGAACTGCCCCAAAAGGTTTCTAAGGCTATAATACTTACAGATGCAGACTACCACATACCTCTATCTCACAGAGCAGCTAGTGGGCCAAACAACCAACCTTTTGATTAGTAACTAAGTGCTTAACCAGTGTGCCACCAGGCTCCTTTTGAATTCTTTTGTTGTGGTCAAATTAGACAGAATGGATATGTTTGGTTCCAGAGGTTGAGAGAAAAAAAATCCTGTTACATATGTAAGATGTGTGGTCTCTAAAGTACCTTTCAGCATTCTGGTGCCACATTGTAGTAGTAGTTTGCTCTGCTATGCTCTGACAGTGATCAAGCCCAAAAAGGTTGGCTACTCTAAAGTATTTTACTCTGTTTGTATAAGCTGTATACTTATGTCTGATGTTGATGAGCTCCTCTTTTCCCCCACCCCAGCATAAATAGTACAAATCCCTTCATAACTTCTTAAGGAGATGAATAGAATCCCAGCTTACTAAAAGGGATAGAAATCTCAATGTTTTTGAGGGAAAAGACTCTTCATTGGTCCTACTCTCTGGTATCCTGTTTATTTTATCTGGTACACTCACTGCCAGTGGTGACTCAAAAGGTATCATTCATTGACCAGAAACCTATCTGCATGGGCACCACAGATCATATGGACAACTTTTTCTAATGAGAAACAGCTGGCTCCCAAAGCTTCCTAAAGCCAGAAGATTCCAATGACATTTTGGCTTAAAAGATTAAAGAATACAACTTTCACTATGATATGTAAGGGGTGGGGGGAATCCATTCATGTAAAAATGGGAGAAAAAAAAGAGGGAGGGATTGAAAAGACAATGCTTTGAAAGTCAGGACATTTTAAAAATAAAGTCAATAAAAAGTTAACACTTTTTCTATACTAAGAGTGGACATATAAGCAGGTTAGTGCTCTTTTGACCTACCCATTGGAATGACTTTCCCCAGAGACATGGTCCTGCCTTGTCCTCATTCACATGGCTAATTGGGTAACCCTTTTGCTTGGTTCTACATGGACATCGCAGCATGAGGTTAGTGAAAGCCAAGGGTGCTCACAGAACCAGCTCTGTAGCCCTTCTCTTACATAGTATTGTTTCTCTTAAATGCAAGTGCCTGTGCCAAGGAGAATCAGCATCTAAACATCCACCATCACTTATAAATAATTTCAGAAATTAAAACTTGAAGTAGGTTTTAGTTAAAGCTCTAAAAACTCAGACTGAAAATTAGCTCTTATCACTACCAGACAGCCATTAGTAGGATTACTTTTTTTTTTCCAACTAAGCACACACTATGCCCTAAATTGCTAAGCCATATGTGATTCAGATACTAGTTGGTTAAAACTCAATTTTGCAAATATTTGTGTCTACTCTACCTAAGAAAGACACTCTATCTTCCTAAAAGAAAACAAAATTAACTCTCCTCTCATAAATTACTAGCTTTAATTAAAACTGACACAATACAATTATATTTTTAGGACATAATTTGACCTACCGTATAATCAGATAAACCATATAGTAACAACCAGAAAAAAAAAACTCACTGCCATCAAGTCAGATCTGATTCATAGCGACCCCTCCTTGGGTTTTGGTTAGCAGTCAAAGGCCTTAGGCACTATGCTACCAGAGCTCCTATTGTAACAACGGTCACTGGTACTTGTATAAGTAAGCACTTCTAGTATAGAAAGGATTTGGCATGTGGTATTTTCAAACACGACTTAATGATAAAGTTTGCAAAGGTCTGACAGTTCTCATAGCTGTACATACTGTTTCTCTTCAATATTATACCATCCACCCAAACATACCTCTCCTTATTTATAAATGTAAAATTTATACATTATATCTACTATATAAAAATATTCAAATAAGCATTCCCATATTCTTGTCTCTGAAGTCTCTATTTGTTTTGAAAGCCAAAAATGTGAATTTAAAGGGTCACCATTATTCTTTATCATTTTCTTTAAACCTGGATTTTTTTTTACTATCACTAGGGCTGAACAGATAAAATGTCAATATTTGGATTTGTCCATGGTTGGCACTGACAAAATGGATAACAGCAAGATTCAAGCAGTGATGGAATGGGGGAGACAGTGCAAATAAAGGATTAGGAGGACTGTTTTCCCTGTTCACATCTTCCAGGGAAACTTTCCAGTCCATGTATGCCATTACAGGGTCACTTTCTAGTACATATGGAAGTTGGGATAGGGAGTACAATTAAGGGGAGGCTCAGAGGTCCCTTTCTAATTCAGTATTTTCCTCAGGAGATTCACACACAACTCGGTCCAAATGTCACCACAGTTTCATGAAAGAAGCATTTAGGATGGGAAGCAACAAATGACCCTGGTTCTGCCACTTACTAGCTATATGACCACAGGCAAATAATGCATTTGAATTTTAGGTTTATTCTTTGAAAATGGAGAGATGAATACTTGCCTCACAGATGTTATTGCAGAACCAAATAACTTCCTGGGTGTACCTGACACAGACCATCAACAAATACTATGTCAGTTCTATTCCAGAGGACAAGGTGACAGTTTGAAAGTCCAAAATCTGGATTTTCATCCAACTTTGGACTTAATCCAGAAGTACATGGACTCAAACGGAATTATCAGAATATAGTACAACTTGCCTAGGGGTCCTCACATAACCTGGGGGCACTTCAAGTGCCTACCATTACCTTTGTAACTGCCCACCTCAAAGACATGAGACACGTACTGGGAGTGCTAACAGGCACCTTTCATGGTCATATAATACTGAACATTACTAAAAGAAACTAGCTATTATTTCATTCATAGTATCATGATACTTTGGGTAGTAATTCTTGGGGTCGTATTATATACACATAATTGTTTCTTCTTGTACAGTTACTTAGTGGCCCTTTTCCTCCATCCGTGTCCATTGGTTTATTATTTATCTGTGACATAACCACCTGGTTAAGATTATACACTCCTAAAATCAATGTCTGTATTTTTATTTTCTAGGCTTTACATAGCATCCAAAAAAACAATGATAATAAATATGATCTGAGGAAAGTAACAATGATGAAAGAGTACATAAAAATTTAGATGGTAGATTATCAAGTATCCGGTCTAATGAAAACCATGTACATTTTAAAAAAACTTGTTTTCAAACTGGCTTTTCCAATTCTCCAAAGGAAAATGAGTAATGCAAATATTTTTAACTTATCCTGGAAATGAGACACGAAAGAAATCTACGCATTTAAGATATTTAGACCAAGATCATTATTTTCCTCTCAGCATCATCTCTGAAAATGAACTCTTATAACTTCTAAGACCTAAACGAAAAGGTAAACTGTTGTGTTCAAAGATGTCCAAATATAAGATATTTGTGTGAGTAATCTTTTAGAAATTATAAAGTACCCTACCTCCTTAAAATTATCAAATGCTGATAAAATTATTTCATGACCGCCTCTGACAAGACAAACAGCTGCCAACAGTTCTAAGACAAGGGCTTTCGTTCTGTCAAAACAAGGAGAAAAAAGAAAAACACAAATCAGTGGAAGTGACATTGAGATGTATCAGCTGTTCCTTCCTTCCAAGATGGATATGTTAATAAAATATTTGGCTGAGTATGTTTTTTAAACTTTTATTGAGGTATAGTTAGTTATATTAAAGTACATCTTCAAACCTTTATTAACTTCTAAACACGTGATTTGTCTAAGACAGCAAATTTGAAAAGTATGTTTTCTACCCACAGTATAATAAATTACTCACTAATGAAAACTCATTCAGATGACTCAGTACAATATAGTTGAAAAATTATTGATGAGCTAACAACAATAGGAAACTTGTGAATATGCAAGAAAACAATCCACTGAATAAATATTTTCTTAACATTTTAGAGCCAGAGCCATAACATTTGCCTAAAAACTTAAAAATCGACTAAAATTAATGCCCTGCATTTCAAATCTGCTCCTTTACAGATGGCTGCATAAAAATCTCCCATGACAATGAAAGTTTCCATCATTTGTTCCTTTTATGAGGAAGATCTGGAAGGAGCTGGATTAGAACTGAACTACTGTAAGAATTTTTTCTCTGACTCAGAAAATTCTATCTGAAATATTTTTGAAAGCAGAACCTAGAGATACATTTTAAGTTTTCAAATATATATATATTTGAATCTAGTAATGTATTGTTTTTACACCACTTCAGTATTCATCTTTCTTCTGTAAGAAAGGGTATTGCCAACCTCTAAACAAAGATCTTCTAGATAATCCACATGCCAACTGTTTTAAGAAAAAAGAATATTGGAAGGCAGGAACATACAACTATCAATACTTGGGATTCCAGTAAACTAAGGAGGCAATCACAAGGTTGCAAAGTTTTAATTAGGTAAAATTTGAAATAATACTCAGCATTTAAATAGGACTTTATGATGGGAGCTCTGGTGGTGTAGTACCTTAGGCATGTGACTGCTAACCAGAAGGCTGGCAGTTCAAACCCACCAGCCACTCCTCGGAAGGAAGATTGGGCAATTCCAAAGTGATAGTACCTCGGAAACCCAAGAAGGGGTCGCCATGAGTCAGATCTGACTCGACGGCAGTGTGTTGCGTTTTATGATTTTGCAATACGTCCAGAATCTGAAGGGATCTAATTAATAATCAGATTTTTTAGCTGAAATAAGAGTTTTCAGATACTCAGTCTATAAAACCAAAAAAACCAAATCCACTACCGTCGAGTCAGTTCCAACTCAGGGCAACCCCTCCTTGGGTTTCCAAGGCAGTATCTCTTTGGAAGTAGATTGCCCAGTTTTCCTTCTGAGGAGTGGCTGGTGAGTTTGAACTGCTAGGCTTCTGGTTAGCAGTCAAATGCTGTAAGTACCAGGCCACCAGAGCTCCCATTCAATCTATACAGAAGCCTATTACTATCTGATAAACGTGAATAGGCATTTGAAATGCAGAATAGTCTGTCCGAATGGAAACACATTAGAATAACTAAAGTAATTGATGAAGACATGCCTTTGGAGGTAATCTGTGAATACATGGCACAGGCCTATATTAAAAAAACAAACAAAGCAAACTGCCATAGTTGTCAATTCCAACTCTTAGTGACCCTACAGGACAGAGCAGAACTGCCCCATAGGGTTTCCAAGGCTGTAAATCTTCACAGAAGCAGAATGCCTCTCATCCTGGTGGTTTCAAACTGCCAACCTTTTGGTTAGCTAGCCAAATGCCTTAAGTAGCCCTATATAAGAAGGTAAATATAAGGCAGTCTGCATGCACAGGTTTTTTTGCCTTTTTTTTTTTTTTCCTTTTGGTTGGTTGTTTATTTGGTAATAAAAGGTATGCAGGAAGAGATGTAAAGGTAGCAAATGAAATGAGGTTGAAAGACAGTGCTTTTAGTTAAGTGTCAGCACTAACTGGTATATAGCTAAGTCTCTATCAAGACTCTCTTGGTCCTCTTGCATCCTGACAACTTCATCCTCTCTATCAAATTTAGCAGCAAGGATGTTAAGAACAAGACTTTGAAAGGGATGAAAACTTGAGCATAACAGTACAGGGCCAGAGCTGTCACCAGCTGCTCAACTCTGCTATGTGTAGGAATGTAATTTGGCTAAAAAGAAATTCTATACAAACAAAGAGTCTCTCACCAATCTTATTTTAGAGAGTCACACCTGAATGTTTCTAAAGTCTAACTTGATTAAGTGTTAACTAAAACCCATTACTATCAAGTGGTTCTGACTTATAGCAACCCTATGAACAGAGTAGAACTGCCCCATAGGGTTTCCAAGTCTGTAATCTTTACAGAAGCAGACTGCCTCATTTTTCTCCCATGCAGAAGCTGTTGGTGTTAGGTACCATTGAGTGGGCTCCAACTCATAGCAATCCTACGTACAACAGAACAAAATACTGCATGGTCCTGTGCCAGCCTCACAATCCTTGCTATACCTGAGCCCATTGTTGCAGCCACTATGTCAATCCAACTAGTGGAGGGCCTTCCCCTTTTTTGTTGACCCTCCATTTTACCAAGTATGACATCCTTCTCCAGGGAGTGGTCCCTTCTGACAACATGACCAAAGTAAGTGAGACAAAGTCTGGCCATTCTCACTTCCAAGGAGCATTCTGGCTGCATTTCTTCCAGGGCAGATTTGTTAGTTCTTTTGGCAGTCCATGGTACTTTCAGTATTCTTCACCAACACCACAACTCAAAAGCATCAATTCTTCCTTGGTCTTCTTTATTCACTGTCCTGCTTTCACATGCATATGAGGTATTGAAAATACCAGGCTTGGGTTCAGCACACCTTAGTCTTCAAAGAGACATCTTTTCTCTTCAGCTCTTTAAAGAGGTTGTTTGCAGCAGATTTGCCCAGTGCATTTTCTTGATTGCCGCTTCCATGGCTGTTAATTGTGGAACCAAGTAATATGAAATCTTTGACAACTTCAATCATTTCTCCATTTATCGTGATGCTGCTTATTAGTCCAGTTATGAGGATTTTCATATTCTTTATATTGAAGGGTAATCCATACTGCAGACCATAGTCTTTAATCTTCATCAATAAGTGCTTCAAGTCATCTTCACGTTCAGCAAGCAAAGTTACGCTGTCTGCATATCACAGGTTGTAAATGAATCTTCCTCCCATCCTGATGCCACGTTCATCTTCATATAATCTAGCTTCTCAGATGATTTGCTCAGCATATACATTAAATAAGTATGGTAAAAGGATACAATCCTGACACACTGCCTTCCTGCTTTTAAGCCATGCAGTATCCCCTTGTTCTGTTCAAACAACAGTCTCCTGGCCTACATATAAGTTCCTCATAAGCACAATTAAGTGTTCTGGAATTCTCCATGTTATCCATAATTTGTTGTGATCCACACAATTGAATGCTTTTGCATAGTCAATAAAACACAAGTAAACATCTTCCCGGTATTCTCTGCTTTCAGACAAGATCCATGTGACTTCAGTAATGATAGCTCTCATTCCATATCCTCTTCTGAATCCAGCTTGCATTTCTGAAAGTTCTCTGTCAATATACTGCTGCAACCATTTTTAAATTATCTTCAGTAAGGTTTTACTTGAATGTGATATTAATGACTCTGTTTGATAATTTCTACAAAGAAAGGGATCACCATTCTTTGGAATGGATACAAATATGGATCTCTTCCAGTCAGTTGGCCAGGTAGCTGTCTTCCAAATCTCTTGGCTTAGCTGAGTGAGTACCTCCAGTATGTCATCTGTTTGTTGAAACATCTCAATGGGTATTCCATCCATTCCTGGAGTCTTGTTTTTTGCCAATTGCTTCAGTGCAGTTTCAACTTCTTCCTTCAATACCACTGGTTCTTGATCATATGCTAGCCTCTTGAAATGGATGAATATCGACCAATTCTTTTTGGTACAGTGATTGTGTATTCCTTCCATCTTCTTTTGGTGTTTCATGCATCATTCAATATTTTGCCCACAGAATCTCCCAATACTGCAACTCGAGGCTTAAATTTTTTCTTCAGTTCTTTCAGCTTGAGAAATGCTGAACATGTTCTTTCCTTTTGGTTTTCTAACTCCAGGTCTTTGAACATTTCATTATAATAATTGACTTTGTCTTCTCAAGCTGCTCTTTCAAATCTTCTGTTCAGCCCTTTTATGTTGTTACTTCTTCCATTTGCTTTAGCTACTGTCCATTCAAGAGTAAGTTTCAGAGTCTCTTCTGACATCCATTTTGGTTTTTTCTTCCTTTCCTGTCTTTTTAATGACCTTTTGCTTTCTTCATGGATGATACTCTTGATGTCATCCCACAACTCCCCTGGTTTTCAGTTATTGGTGCTTAATGCATCAAATCTATTCTTTATATGGTGTCTAAATTCAGAAGGGATATATTCAAGGTCATATTTTGGCTCTTGTGGACTTGTTTTAATTGT